GAGAATGCCTTTATTTCCTCTTCACTCCTGAAGGACATTTTTGCTGGGTGTAGAATTCACAGTTGCCAGTTCATTTCTTTTAGTACTTGAAAAAATGCTATGCCACATCCTCTGGTTTTCACGATTTTAAGTGAGAAAATCACTGTTATTCAAATAGGTATTCCCCTATAGGAAATGCAGTGTTTCTCCTGGATGCTTTCAAGATATTTTTTTCTTTAGTTTTTAGAAGTGTAAAAACGTTGTGCCTTGGTATAGATTTCTTTGGGTTTATCCTCTTTGGACTTTGCTCAGCTTCTTTAATCTATAAATTTATGTCTTCCACAAAAGTTGGGATGTTTTCAGCTATTATTTCTTCAAATAATTTCTCCTTCTCCTCCTCCCCTTCTACTTCTTTTTCCTCCTCCTCCTTCTTTTCTTTCTCTCTCTTCCCATTCTCCCTCCCATCTCCACTTCTGGGATTCTAATAATATGAATATTAACTCTTCTGTTATTGTTCCACATGTCCCAGAAATAATGTGGAGATTTTTTTTCAGCCTATTTTCTTTCTGTTGTTCAGGTTGGGTAAATTCTATTGATTTCTGTTGATATTTCCTCAAGTTCACTGCTTCTGTCCTCTGTCATCTCCACACCGCTACTGAGCCCAATCAATGAGATTTTAATTTTGGTTATTATCTTTTTCAGTTCTATAATTTCCATTTGGTCTTTTTTATAACTTGTATTTCTCTGCTGATAATTTTTATTTTTTAATTTGTTTCAGGAGAATTTATGATTGCTTGATGAGGCATTTTTATGGTGGTTGTTTAAAGTCCTTAGATATTTTCAAATCTCTTCCTCTTGGTATTGGCTTCTGTTCATTATCTTTTCTCACTGATGTTGTGGATTTCCTGGTTCTTGGTATGACAAGTGATTTTCAATCATATCCTGGACTCTTTGGATCTTATAAGACTCTGGATCTTTCAAAATATTTTTTAGCTGGCAGTCACCCTGTTGAGGTGTTGCGTGGGGGCCAGCCAGGTGGGTCTGCATGTTCAGGTTCCCACTAGGCTCCCCTGACACTGCCCTAGCAAAAATGGGGCAATGACTCACACTACCTTGTTGCAGACATTGTAGGATGGACATTGAGCCCCTCCCTCCACCCTGCTGGCATCTTTCCAGTGAAGTGGGGCAGCCACTTGCACCACCTCTTGCTTCCATGTGTGGGTGTAAGGTCATTTCTCCACTAGGCCCCTTGACAACAGGGAGTAAAAAGGGAGAAGCGAAGTGCCATGTAGCCTGCCTCTCACCACCTAGTGTTTACTCACTGACGTCAGGTGAGGGTGGAGGCTCAGTTCCCCACTGGATCCTGCTGACACAGTGAGGAGGATGAAGCCTAGTGATGACTAGGACCATACAGCACAGCCTCGTTAAATCTTATTGCCTCTAAGTGCAGATAGGGGCACAGCTGGCTACTGGACCTTGATGGGAGAATCAGAGCATTGCCTGCTTTCACCAGGCAGGGAATGAAAGATAAGCTCCCAGCCTAGCCACACCAACACTGTCCAAGCAGGGGGACTGGTACCATGTGTGGAAAGAGAAGGCATGTGGTTCTTGCATTGGTGTTTGGCTCAAGTAGGGCAGGTATTGCCAAAAGAATTTTCTGCTGTTAGCCCACCCTTTTCTCGGTCCCTTGGCTAGGGGGTAAAGGCTTTTCTTGGAACTTTTTTGTCTATTGGCAGCTTCTAGTTGGAGGCTTCTGCAACACCCTTTTCAGAGTATAGGGGATCCAAAAACGAAACTTAAGAGAACTCACCACCATGTCCTCCTCAACTCCTGAGATCCCCAGGCAGCCTACCTTCTTCTTTCCATATTTCAGACTTCTATGCTTGTTTGTTGTGTTATATGTACATTTTTAGTTGTAAGAGAGAAGACCTGGGAGTAATGGGGCTATTCCATCTTAGCAGAACTGAAGTCTATTCACTTTAATGTAATACTTCTAAAAATTTGTAGGTTTCTTTAGCATTGCTGTTTAATTTCTCTAAGCTCTTGTAGTAACAATTTTGTACTTTGAACAACAGCAGTACTAGAGTAACAACTTGTAAAGGTAAGTTGGGATGTCCTTACCTTAGGACTTAGGAGATCTCATCTTGATTCCTACCTAGTTGGTATATATGAAGGCTATCCTTTCTCCTGTTTTGTTAGCCACTGTGCTTCTCCTTAATGCCGTGATAAATCTTTTTCCTTATCCTCCATTTACCTTTTCTTTTCTTCTTCTGCATACATTTTAAAGTGGTGAACTTTTGTATATCAATTATATAAATTGTATGCATGTGTATGTATCTGTATGTGTTTCTAACAAAGAAATATACCTATCATTTGCAGGGTTTTCATTGAGTTGAACACCCCTCTCCCCACCTAGGCTTTCACTGTCCCCAGTCTAGACCTTGAGGGGTTATAACATGCAGTTCCCCACATGCACTGGTGAACTTTGACGCTGGCTGCAGGTGATCTTATAGGAACTAAGGAGTGCAGTATCCCTGAGAATAGGAAAACATATTTAGGGTATACTTGTGAGCATTTGCCTAACACTACCGACACCTTGAGGGGGAAGTTACAGAGCACCTGGTAGACAGAAACTATTAGTGGTAACAGTAATAAACCAAAACCCATATGGTAAATAAGTAAAATACAACATCCACCTGGTGACTACCTTGTACCACTGTGCTAGGTGCCAGAAGATAAAAGATGAGTGAGATAAACACCTTGCCCCAATCTAGTAAAGGCCATGGTCACATAATCAATTATAAAGGATGGGATATTGCTCTAGTGGTAATGTGCCAAATCACCACGGTTAATATGGAGTCAAGCCCAATCTTAAGCCAGCTGTCAGATCATCTTTATCTGTCAGTTTTACTTTGCTTATGTACACTGTGCTTTATAAATTTATCTCCTTTAGAACAATCGTGTTCCTGTAATGTAATGGTTTATTCCAAGTAAGTCTTTTCCTCTTTCTGGCTATAAAGTCTTTGAAGTCAAGAGCTACATTCTTTTCATCTTTGTATCCACAGTACCTGGCACATAGTAGGCACTTGTTGAAAAACTTGTTGTCAAGTTCCTAGGTTCCAGACATTGTTCTAGATGCTGGGAATACAAGACACAAATTCTTAGCTGTCACGATGCTTCCATTCTGGTAAAGGAGATGAACCACTATGATTAAAGATCTTAGTGCCCTGTCATGTAGCAGGTGGTTTGTACTTTGCTTAGGAGTCTCTAAGTGAATACCCTGAAGACCCTTAGGGCTGCATATTTCTGATAAAATTTGTCTTTGTTAAAATAGTCAGAGCTGGAATAGGCATAAAATCTTTGTTTCTCTAGTTCATTGATCCTATCACAATATGAATTGCTTGAATGGTCCTGCGAATGCCATTCCATGAGGGTTCAGTTCAATTCAACCAACACAATGAAGCTGTCAAGGCACTGGAAAATATTTTACATATATTAATCACACTGAATCACACTTTTTGGTTAAAAAGGCCTTTCATTACCCCCATATCTACCCTCCCTCTCCTGTCCCAGTTCCGTTAGGTACATTCTTCACAGAATGCTCCCAAGGCATCCTATCCACTTATCCAGTATTATAGATGTATTATAATTCCCCTTTTCTGTCAGATCGGGGGGCAGGAGAAGGTGGTTGATCATATGCATTCTAGGGTCAAATCCCAACTCCCTCATCTAAACTTACTGAGCCTCCATTTCCTCATCTGCAAAATGTATACAATAACAATGCCTACTTTGCTGTAAGGATTAAATAAAATAATGCACATAAAAAGCTTAATATGACACCCACCTATAGTATATTATTGTTAACTATTAATCAGCATGGTGCCTGCTATACAGTAGGTAGTCAATAAATGTTACATGAATTAATCTCTGTTTAACCCCAGCTAATAGTGAAGAAACTGGTGCCAGAATCCAAATCTTCTGACTCAAAATCTTGTACTCTTTCTGCAACAATAAGATATCTTGTAGATATTATGCAACTTTTTTCCTAAATAACACTTAGACCAGTAATCCGGTGGGATTTTTGTGCTCTTTTTAGAGCATGAGCCTGGAAGAAGTAGTTTGAAAACCAAAACATTCAATTTCCAGGATATTTTAATAGCTTATTGGGACAACTGGATGGAAGATTAGAATAAGTAATGTCCTGGACAATTGGGATTTCTGTCTTTAATGTGACTAAGCCCTTTTGCACAGAGTCCAAGACATTCTTATATCAAATTCTACTCTCTACAAAAGAGTTAGCATGGTTCTAGTGTCTTGAATTAAGAAGTCAGTCATTAAAAATTACAAAGAGAAGCACTTACAGGTCTTTTAGGGCTTAGAATCTTTCCCCTGGTGTGAGCATGGTTCATTAACTACCGAGTGCAAAAGATGAAGTAGACCAAGTTTTGCTTTCTCTTCTCACCTTTCATCTCTGTTGGGTTTTTTTTTTTTGCCTGATCCTCACCCTAAGCCACATAACCCTTCTTCCACTTCTGAAATACTGCTGTTAGCCTGCCATGGCATTTAGACAGTTGAAGGCTGAACAACTGAAAATTCTTAAGATGCAGAAAAAGGAATTCAGTATAGTTAATTTCAAGTATTAATGGAAAATTGGGATGAGGAGGATGGCTTCTTTAAAAGTGTTAATATCACAGCAGCTGGGCAGAGATAGTCTACGCTTTCCTGGTACTACTGTGAGTTGCCTATTGAGCAACAGCAATTTAAGGAGAGGCAGAGCAAAGAATTAAATAGTACAGGTTGCTAGAGTTAATTTTATATTTGTATTGCTTTATAATAATTTATACATTTATAATAAACTATGATAAAATAAATACAAGTAAAATTAACATAATAAATTAATAAGTTCACAATAATAAAGTATATGCTTTCTTGATGACAGAATACTGTCAGTAAATATTAATTAATTCAAAACAATGTAAAATGTTAACAATGGTTTTTAAAGGATGTATCAATCTACTCACTGATTTTCCTTTTCTATTTGTATTTTTCTGTCCAAAGTCTTTATCTTGCATTAACTCATCTGAAAAAGAATTTTAAATAATATAATTAAGTTAGCATTTGTGGCATTTGACAAGGGTGCTCTGTAGACATGTCTCTAATGTGTACAGCACAGCAGTTAAGAGCAGGGGGGCTGGAACCTGACAGCCTAGGCTCGGTCTCTGCAACTAAGTAACCATCTCACTGTGGACAGGTTATCTTCTTGACTCTCTCTGTCTCAGTTTCATCCGTCAGAGGGTGAAATCCCCTCTCATAGGACTGTGTGGTTTAAAGAGCTAATGCATCTAACACTGTGTCTGGAACTTAATAAGCACAACCAAATGTAAATTTCGCTGTTATTGCTACCGTCATTACTACTCCCTCTCTTCTGACCCCTGACACACTGCCCCCTTGGATCTGTCATCGACTAACTCTGATTGTTAAAATGCATATGTTGTTATTAAAATTAAATGTCATCATGCACTGTATTTTATGTAAATGGAAGATCGTCTTTTAGTCAGATTATAGTCAATGTATTGAATATTTCTACTCCTCTGGTTCTTCCTGCCAGTTCGAAAAGTGAAGTAAAAACTTAAAAAAAAAAAAAAAGAAGTCTCATTACTGCACTCTAGGTGGTTCTGAATTGTCTGTGGCTGTTAAAGATTACGCACCTTATTCCAAGCTGAGCTTGACTTGACATTAAAAAGATTACTTTTACTCATTCTTCTCGGAGCCTCAGTTTAGCCTGTCCTCTAGCAGTCATGTGGGTAATCTTCTATCACACATTTGCTATACGTACCCAACTCTGAGAGCTGTGTGGACCGACAGTCTACATCCTAGATACCTTTCATGAATAATTATGTATTTCCTCAATGCAATTCATGATCCTAGAGAGGAATCTTACATAATAAACTCAAGAGAATGTATATAAAGTATGGAGAGGAGCGACCACGGTCTTCAATGAATTGTGCTGCTGGGCTAAGATAAATGTGCATAAATATCAGGAGCCAGAGGGTGTCTATGAAAATAGCTCCCAAGTAACTGGGTGAGGCATATGCCTCTAATTTGCTTAAAGGTAATGCTAATTTAAGAAATTTAGCAAGAGTGCTGTATGAGCCCTACTAAATAAACTCTTTAATGTACTGCATTTTATTTTATATAATGTATCTATAGAAGTATTAGGTTAATTATGTAAGACTAGTCTGCATAAGTAAACCGAAAAGTGTGATGCAAAATATAATAAAGCCATTTTAAAATAGATTTAGGAATCTTGAATAGTTTTTAAAAGACTCTGATCAGATATAAATTTAGGAATATAGATTTTTAGAGAAACTGGAGACCAAACAGTCTTAAAACCATCTCCCTCATTTTAAATATCAGAAAAACCCAAAAAACTTAATAACCTGACCAAGAGCAAATAGGAGTCAGCAATAAAAAAAACCCACTGTTTTTAACTCTAAGCATTAACTTTTTCAAAGGTACACCATTGATGTTTTTTCCAATTCTGATTTTGTTTTGACGCTGCTTATAAAGTGTCCTCTTTACTCTTCAGAGGAGAGTGGACCACTGGCTTGTCTCACAGACTTCTTTTACAGAATTTTCAAACTACTTAGCCTTTCTATGCCTCAGTTGCCTCACCTATAAAACTAGGATAATAGTGTCAGTTTCACAGAGTCGTATGACTATTAAATAAATTAATACATGTAAAATGTTTACAAAGCTATGAAGATTAAAGAAGGCAATATAAGACAACTGCAAGGGAGTACTGAAATATTTTCTCAATATCTAGCTTCCTTCTTTCATTTTTAAAATGGGAAAATCAAGGCTTTTGTAAGACAAATGGTTGCCTAAATTCACAAGGCTAGTTAGTGGCAAGGCAGGGGTGAGATCCAATTTATCCCCTCATTAATATTTTCTATTACTTGATAGACAATTTCTCCTTTTCAAGGAATAGTCAGAAATAATAAAATAAGGAGTTTGCTTGCTATTCTATTAGATTTACTCCAAAAGTTCTTTTATGATTAGATTGCAAAGGATATTAGAATGAAAGTTTTGTAGGAATCATATCATGGGTACCCAAGTATCCTGGTCTTCCAGGATGTCTTATTATTCCTAAATGCTATTCCAAATGGTAACTTTTTCTTCTAGAATAAATTGTAAGTTAGGTGTACTTTAAATTTTTCCTGATATTTACTAAAGTATTCCTGAAACTAACATCCTAAGTTTTCAAAAAGCTTCCTGCACCCAATATATGTTCTTAGAATTGTTAGTATTCTATAGAACAGACGTATAAATACATATACATATGTATGCATATGTATAAATACAAAGACATATATGGCTAAAGCATTAATTTGTAATCATTTTCATTTCACTACATTTAACTATTCAAGATAAGTCCAACCTCCCTTTTTTGGGGGATTCTTCTAAAAGGATACTTCTCAGTCACACTTTCATCAGATATTTTCCCTGTATGTCCTTTTTAAAAATATATATATATATATATTTTTTCCATCTTCTATTCCCCAGTAAGTTCCTAATTAGAGGACACTCTCTACAGCTCAAGGATGCTTTCAGATTACAAAGAAATGTGCTTGCTGCTCATCTTCCCTGCCAAGGGTTTTTGTGATCTTATTTTCTCCTCATTTTAATTAGATTACTAATCTCCTCTGGATGAATATTCAGTTACTACACAGCCACGTTCCAGCTGTTAAATATTAAATCAGCTCTGTACTAAACTGTAAAAAGTTGTTGCCTCAAGATATCCAAGTGTCCATCTCACATTCATTGCCCTAGCTACCTTGAATCCCTTAGGAACCTCCCATTTCCTTCAACCCCAACATGGCACAGCAAGGGACTTCCAGAATCCTGGTCCAACAGCGTTGTCTGGTCTGGATGCTCCCTGCTTATACTATACTGGTTGTTAAGTAATTTGAATATCACCTTTGGCTTTATTGATATGTCAAATATGTCTTCATAATGATACCTCAGAACTCCTTAAATTTTTAATGCATGTAAAATAAATATCTAGGATCTTAAGGCCACCTGTATTTTGCTTTGCTTGATCTCCTACTAATATTATAATTCCATAGGTTTTTCATGCCAGTAATCACAAACATCTTAGTGTAATTTGAAGGAACATCTTGATAATAATTATTTTACATGAGCTCATGTTCCTAATTCACTGAATATTTGAAAATTACAGCTATATATACAAACCATAACTTACCTACACTATTAGGGATATTTAAATTTTCATTCACTGAGCTAAAGGAACAGTATGAACTCTGAAATAAAAACAGATGAGAGAAGGTGAATAGAAAAACAATTAAATATCAATATGATTTTTAAACTTGGCATTACTGATGGCTATAAATAATAATAAAGTGAGATCCAGTGTTACCATTTGGCTTTATTTTACATAAGGGAAATAATTCTCTTATTTACATCATATTAGTAGGCTGTTGAGGTAGGAAATGGCAAGCATCAGAAAAAAAATGATATTACTTTGTATATAACTGACTTCTTATTCTCTCTAAGCCCTAGGGAACAAAAATAGTAACTTCAAAGATAAAATAAAAATAAGGTTAATATCAAAGAAAACATATCAAAAGTGAATGGAAAATGTAAAAAAAAAAGTGAATGGAGAAGTGATATCATGAAAAATGGTAGGGTAAGGTGGTCAAAGAATTCATCTCTTCACTGAAACATATAAACTATCAAAGATTGACAGATAACTGTTTCAAACTCCATAATCTCATACAAAACTCATAGCAGCCAGGGATTGGTTAATAAAAAAAAAAAAGGACAGCTAAATTTTGGTGTTTTCAGAAATATGTCAGGTCATTAGCTCACCACTGAGATAATGGAACAGAGATTTCAGTGACTGACCACAAATGACAAGGAATATAGCCTTTGTAAAAAAAATAGTTTGGATAAGTCACTAAAGAAATGTGACTGCAGCCCTTTAAAATCAACAACAGTAACTCTGGAGAAGAAGAAGAATTTAATTTCCAGAGTTAACATTATAATATTTAAAGTGCCAATTTCTAACAACAACAAAAAACAAGGCATACAAAGAAACAAGAAATATGGCCCATTCATAGGAAGAAAATTCATTGATAGAAATGTCCCATGAGGAAGCCCAGCTATTGGATTTACAAGACAAAGGTTTTAAAACAACTTTCTTTGGCCATCATTTAAAAAGTCCACAAACAATAAATGCTGGAGAAAATTGGAGAAAGGGGAAGCCTCCTATACTGTTTGTGGGAATGCAGTTTGGTGCAGCTATTATGGAAAACAGTACGGAGACTCCTTTAAAAACTAAAAATAGAGTTACCATATGATTCAGCAATCCTACTCCTGGGTACATATCTGGATGAAACTCTAATTCAAAAAGATACATGCACCCCAATGTTCATAGCAGCACTACTTACGATAGCCAAGACATGGAAACAACCTAAATGTCCATCAACAGATGACTGGATAAAGAAGATGTGGTGGGTGTGTGTGTGTGTGTGTGTGTGTGTGTGTGTGTGTGTGTGTGTGTAATGAAATATTACTCAGCCATAAAAAAGAATGAAATAATGCCATTTGTGGCAACATGGATAGACTTCGAGATTGTCATAGTAAGTGAAGTAAGCCACAAAGAGATATCACATGGTATTTTTTCCATGTGAAATCTAAAAAAATTAGACAAATGAATTTATGTACAGAACAGAAACAGACTCACAGGCATAGAAAACAAACTTTCAGTTACTGGGGGCTAGGGGTGGGGAATGAGGGATAAACTGGCAGTTCGAGTTTTGCAGATACTAACTACTATATAAAAAATAGATATACAGCAAGATCCTACTGTATAGCACAAGGATCTATATTCAATATCTTGTAATAGCCTATAATGAAAAAGAATATGAAAAGGAATATATATGTATAACTGAATCACTATGCTGTACACCAGAAATTAACATGATATTGTAAACCAACTATACTTCAATTAAAAAAAAACATTTTTAATAAAATAAAACAACTTTCTTAACTATGCTCAAAGAGCTAAAGGGACTCATGTACAAACAACTAAAGGAAACCAAGAAAACAATGAACAAAAAATATACATAATAAAGAAATAGAAATTAGAAAAAGGAACCAAATAGAAATTCATCAGATAATATAATAATTGAAATAAAAAAATCTTGAATTCAAAAGCATATTGAGCAGATAAAAGATGGAATCAGTAAATTGAAGATAGTACATTAAAATTATCTAGTCTGAGGAGCAGGAAGAAAAAAGAATAAAGAAAAATGAACAGAGCCTAATGGACCTGGGGGACAACAATCAAATATACCAACATACACATTATAGGAGTCAAAGGAGAAGAGAGAGAAATGGTCAGAAAGAATATTTGAAGAAATAATGGCCAAACACTTCCCAAATTTACTAAAAGGCATGAATCTACATACCCCCAAAGCTCAACAAACTCCAAGGAGGATAAACTCAAAGATATATACATCAAGACATATTATAATCAAACTCACAAAAGACAAAGAGAGAACTTAAAAGCAGCAAGAAAAAAGTGACTCATCACATACAAATTTCATCAATAAGATTAGTAGCCAATTTCTCATCACAAACCATAAGTTAGTAGACAGTGGAAAGAAAAAACTCAATCAGGAATCCTACAACAAGTAAAACCATTCTTCAAAAATGAAGAACTAAGATATTCCTGGATCAATAAAAGCTAGAGGGTTTTGTCACTATTATTTCTGCTTTACAAGAAATGATTAGGGAATCTCCCAGGCTGAAAGGAAAGGACACCAGACAATAATTCAAACCCATATTAACAAAGAACCCTGGAAAAAGTAACCATGTGGCTAAATATTATTATTTTACTTTGGGCTGTAACTTTTAAAGTTTCCTACACACTTAAAACATATTTATTTTTATTGAAATATAATTGACATACAATATTGTATTAGTTTTAGGTTTATATAAAGATTATGTGTGTATATATATGTATGTATATATATACATTGCAGCATGGTTACACAGTAAGTTTAGTTTATATCCACTGCCACACATTTATACTTTTTTTCTTGTGATGAGAACTTTAAAGATTTACTATGAGCAACTTTCAAATATATGACACAGTATTGTTAACTACAGTTACTATGCTGTACATTATATCCCAAGGACTTATATCTTGTAACCAACAGGTTAATAATTTTGCCCTGCAAACAATTTTGCCCTGCAAAATGCACCTCTGGTAACCACAAATCTGGTCTCTGTATAAATGAGTTTGGTTTTTGTTATTTAAATTCCACATATAAGTGAAATTATGCAGCATTTGTCTTTCTCTGTCTGATTTATTTCACTTACCATAATGCCCTCAAGATCCTTCCATGTTGTTGCAAATCACAGGATTTCCTTCTTTTTTGTGGCTGAGTAATACTGCATTGTGTATATATACTACATTCCCTTTATCCATTCATCTATTGATAGACACTTAGGTTATTCCATATCTTGGCTATTGTAAATAATGCTTCAGTCAACATGGGATGCAGATATCTTTTTGAGATAGTGATTCTGTTTTATTCAAATACATACCCAGAAGTGGAATTACTGTACCGTACGACAGTTCTATTTTTAATTTTTTGAGGAAACTTCATATTGTTTTCCACAGTGGCTGCACCAACTTACATTCCCACCTCTTATTTATTTTTAGTATTATTTTGTAATAAGAAAACTTAACATAGCAAAATTTTAAGTATACAACAGAGTATTGATAACTGCAGACACTATGCGGTTCAGTAGATCTCCAGGATTTACTCATCTTGTATAATCCAAACCTTGTACCCTTTGACTAATATTTCCATTTCCCCTTCTCCCAAACCCTGCAACCACAATTTCACTCTCTGCTTCTGTGAGTTTGTCTATTTTAGATTCAACACATAAGAACCATCATGTAGTATTTGTTCTCTGTGTCTGGCTTATTTCACTTAACATAACATACTCCAGGTACATCCACATTGTTGCAAAAGAAGGATTTTCCTCTTTCTTTTAACTGAATAATATTCCATTGTATGTTATATATCATACTTTTAAAATCCATCTGTCAATGAACACTTAGGTAGCATTCATATCTTGGCTATTATGAATAATGCTGTGATGAACATGGGTAGGTAAATATATCTTTGAGATCCTGGTTTCAATTCCTTTGGATATATACCCAGAAGTGGGATTGCTGGATCATACGGTAGTCCTATTTTTAATTTTTTAATCAACTAATTGGGATGTCCATGCATCCCAACTGACTGCAGAGCTTTAGCTATTCCCATCAGGGTGTAGGACACATAAGTGAGCCATCATGAGTGTCCTAGCCCAATCAAGCTCCCAGATAGCTACAGGCAAGCCAAAATCAACTAAGCAAAACAACTGCCTAGACAAGCACCACACAATCTTGAGAAATTACATATATATATATATATATATATGTATATAAATGGTAGTTTGTTATGCAGCAATAAATAACTCACTTACCAAATTAAAACTGAATATTTTGGAAGTCAGACTCAATAAAGAAATTAAAAGGCAAAACACAAACTATGAAAAAGTATGTGCCATGAATATACATGGTTAATATCCTTATAATAACCAAGAGAGCTCATTATAAAACCTGAACAACATCACCAGGTACTCAACAGAAAAAGAATGGACATAATCTGTCTACTCACAGGGAAAATCAAAATGGCTAATAAGCATGAAAAAGTTTTCATCATTATTTAAAATATCAATATGCAAATATCATTGGTGAGAATATAAAGTGGTACAGTCTTTCAGGAGAGCAATTTGTCAACTTGCCATTTCTATAAATATATGAGGAGATAATCACAGGTAGAAATAAATAGGTAAAAGGATATTAATTTCAAGCTTAATGTCCAAAAATATAGAAACTGTTTAAAATTATTGAATATCCATATTTAAGAATAATCTACATCTTGTAAACTTTTTAAAAAATCCAGGTAACATGCTTATAATGTCAAGTTTAAAAAAGGATAATATAAAATTATATATACATATAGTTTAATCCAAGTTTTCAAAAATAAATAAGAGATATATATGTGCATAACAAAGACTGATAGGCAATAAAATTATTAAATGTGGCAGTACAATTATAACTACTTCTATTTTCTCCTTTACGCTTCTATTTTCTAAATTTCCTATGATGATTGTATATTACTTTCATATTCAGTGAAAACAAGAATGTTTTTCTTGTTAAGTTACATTGGTTAGGGTATTGCTGTAGGTAATTAACAGTAATTCCCCAACTAGAGATATTTAATAAAATTATATCTTTTGGAATTTGGAAAGGAATTTAGAAATGACCTAGTATGATCTATGCATTCAATAGATGAGAAAATAGAGATTTAGATGCCCAAGTTTGCTGAAGTATTCAGAGGTAGAAACTTACTTAGAACTCAGATGGTTTTCTCACTGACCAGTATATAATTTTAAACTGCTTTAATAAGACATAAAGATCTAAGTAGAATAACCATCATTTTGAGAAACGTTTTACCCTGATATACCTTTAAATTTACATTCAGATCATTCTCATTTTAAACTATGAAATTATTTGTAACAGGGAGCACACATGCTCCTATAGTTTCATCCCTATAGTTTCATTAAAAACTTCCACTGAAGTAACTTCCCAGACTTCCCTTTGAATTTC